GTAAAATGATAACACTCATTTATGATCTCAAAATATATTGTAATTTCAACAGATTTTTTTACATTATGTTTAGACCTGGCATTACATGAGTTGGTGAGCATATGAGGTAAATATGACTGTTAAAAAATCATTTTTAAGGAATTGTATGTAAAAAATTAATGCCTTGTAGGAATTTCAAGTTTATCTGTGCACTTCTGCTATTTCATTCATATATTTAGACATAAGTTGGTATGGGTGGTCAATGTTACAGCTGTTAAAAATATTTCAGTTGGTTTCAGATTGGTGAAGGAGAATGTGTGTGTGGGTTTCTTTCTCCCTGAATTTTATTTAAATATACTTACTTTATAATTAAAATTAACAATATCTGTGAACCTGATTGGTAATATTTCAATTACCAGTAGCTGACCTATAAATTTTAAATATATGAAAGTCAGTGTAACATACCCAATGTAGGTAAGTACTTATGAATCACAAAGCATCCTGACCACACATGCCAAGAAACATTTCACTATCCATTTCATTTACTAGAAAGATAAAATAAAAACAAAATGGAATTTATGCTTTCATTTGTTCTTTCCAAAAGTCTGTTACTTTTCCCTGTGGTTGATTATATATTACCTGATTCTTGTTCTGCTGAGATTTTTTTTATATCATGTGTCTAGACTGTCACATGGTAGGATTTGAGGTTATGGTGGCGGTATGAAAATGGCTGTCCTCTGGGCTGTAGTGCCATGTAGTCTGGTAGAAGTTTACCAGTGTTTCAGAGGTCCTTGCTGCCCTGTTGATGGAGGGAACAGGGACTTAGAAATACCGGTAAACTTCTACCGGACTACAACCCAGAGGACAGCCATCTTTGGTTGCAACATATATCATGCTCTTTTAAAATTATTCGTGCTTGTTGAGCGCTGTAATATTAACAGGCCAAACACTGAAAAATTACCCATCTTTTTTATCCAAAAATATCCATGCCCTATTTGAATCAGAAACTAGATTCTGAGACTGACAATTTCGGACATGTGAAATATATTTATCATCATCAGTCTTCAAATACAGAACACACACCAAAGCTAACTTTACAGACTCAACGATCACACATAGTTTTTATGCAGTTAAACACTTCCACAGGCACTGAGTGCAAATTTGTTTAATGAATTAACAGTAATTTGTCAGTAAATCGTATTTATTATAGTTTTAACAAAAACTGTTGAAAATGGCATCCTTACATTTAAACACATTTCACAGTAACATAAATTTGGTGACACTCTTAAAGTTCATTTTCCAGATCTCATTTTCCATGGCTTTAAAAGTGTGGGGATTGTTTCCAGGGCTTGAAGAATACAGTTCTCTTACCTGAGACAAGTTCATTCTGGGAGCAAGTGAGTATAAATTCATACTGCATTTGTATTTTAATGGAGATTAATATGATGGCAGTAGACTACCTATCCAACTATTTCCTATTTATCAACCATTTAAGTCCATTATTTTTTTAAGAAAGCCTCTGAAATATTGATATGGGCTGTTATTCAAAGAAATACAGAAGGCGAACTTCAAAGTCTGTGAAAATAGAGGGTACTAGTTTCTGCAGCTGATGTAAAAGCAAGAGATTATTCTATTAACAAAAGATTCGGTTACTAAATCCTGAGTACCCATTCATGGATTCTAGTTTACTAGCAGGGAAGCCATAAGTCACTGACAGTTTTTTACCTTAAAAAAGTTCTCAGCATAGAAAATGATTACAAGTATTCTTGGTTTTCCATTCCTGAGTAAATCAGTCTGATGAATGGTGAGATTTGAGGTTCTCAAAGTAACGAGTAAGAAGGGAGCTTACTATTTCCATCATTACCCTGTCAGTAATTACCAGACTGGATCTGAGAAGACAGCCATGTCTTGTCTGTAAGATGTTTTATTTACAATACAATATACACAAAGGGAATAACTGTCTTCTCAAAATACTATTTGTGTATGATATATTCGGAAGCAGGGAGTCACACACAATCCTTTGTCGCACTTGTCACACATATAACGGGATTCCCTCCTCTTCCTGGGCCTCAGTGTTGTGTGGGTGCACACAAAACAGGTTCGAAGTCCAGGTTTCCCTTTTGGTGTATCTGGAACATAACATGGAAAGTGTCTGTCTGACAGCCTTATTGGATTATCCCCCTTTGAAGGTCTTCCGCCTTTTGGCGATAACTTTGGTGCATGATGTACTTGTAGCAACTGTCTCGTTGCCTCCAGTTGGAAGTCGGCCATGTTGATGTACGTGCCCGTATGCATCTGATACAGAGCATGAGCATTTATTAGACACAAGTTCATTAAGTGAAAGAATGTCTTTTTGTACCACTTGACACTTCGACGGACACATTGAAGAGAGCTCAACCTGACGTCCGTATTCTCAGCAGTTGTGCTTATGTTGTTGTGATATTCCACCAGGCACAAGGGTCTCATAGTTGGAGCATTAGACTTGTAATGCCTTGTTCTGGTGGCCTTCATCTCACTGTTGTGGAAAGTGGTGAGCATGCAATCATCCCACCTACCTCTCCACCGCAAAGCCATAACACTGCCTGTATGTTTTGATTCTATCTCCCCCTTCTGAAGTACTTTCCTAAACCTTGGCAAACCTTTGTAACTCTTTTTTACCTTTCCACAAACATTGGTACCCATACTAATCAAGTGATGTGCGAGGGAAGGAGTCGTATACAAACTGTCGACGTAAAGATTATGACCATGGTAGAGATACGGCTTCATCAGCGTGGTAACCACACTGTCTGTTAGATCCACCTCTTCTTTGCTTTTCAAAGCAGTATTCTGCACAACAAAATCTAACACATACCCTGACTTAACATCACAGAGAACAAAGAGCCTCATTTTAATGCGCCTGCGTCTCGGGTTACAGTTTTGACCTCGGAAGCTCAGTCTCTCTCCTATACGCAAGTTTCTGAATGGAATAAATGTCTCGCCAAACTTTTCCCGTATAAGTGAACTGACTTTTGCAATTTTGAATAACTTGTCGTTTTCTGGTTGTTTCTCATTGTTACAAAAATGGAGCATCGACATCAGTAAGTCAAATCTATTTTTAGATATAATCTCATGGAAAATTGGAGAACACAACAGTCTGTCAGTGGACCAATATTCGGAAACAGAAATCTTTTGATTCCTTACCATAAGCATATATACAGCTAGAAATGTATACATTTCATTGACATCTGTCTCTCTCCATTGTCTTAACCGAGAATAAGGAGATTTCTTAGCCTGGGCTATCTGTTGATAATACCTATTTGATTCCATTACTATTAACTCAATTAATTCCTCACACAGAAATGTTTTTACAAAGTCAATGATACCGGCCAGCTCATGGTACTTCCTCTGGATCCCAGCTTTTGAGCCATCAAACATAATCTTCTCTGGTTCAAAATCACCATCCTCCCATTCAAACAACTCCAGATCTGCTGAAGCTCTTTTTCTCTTCCTGGAAGGTCTATCTGGAGAAATTTCATCCTCACTCTCATCATCATCGTCGTCATCTCCATCATCATCATCGTCGTCATAAACAAAGTCGTCATCAACGCTGTCTCCACCACTAATGTCGCTTGCATCATCACTACCTTCCATATCTTTAGAATCAATGTCATGTTCACCACTATTATGATCATTATCATCAATATCAGGCAGGTCAACTGATACTTCAATATGTTCCACATTTTCACCATTATCACTCTTAACGTCACTGCCATCAGCATATACATCATCTCTGTGATAAGTGCCATAATCAATAATCACATTGTGTATTTCTTTCTTTGCAACAGTCCTCTTACTAGGCTTGAACACTATGGTGGGTTTGGTTTCTGCAGAGTGCCTGAAGAAAGGAAAGTAAACAGGCATTAAATGTTAACACAAGGCTCTAGATTTCAATAACAGAATTCCAGTAGTCATTTACTTTCTGTAGGAATACAATTCATCATCACAAAACATCTTCATGATACAGAATTATTAAATCCTGACAATAAAAAATTAGAAAATAGTCGCATACTAATGAACTTCCTTTTTTTTTATTTACACTACACATGATATATCTAATACATTTAAAATCCAGTAATAAACTAAGAAAATAGCAGCAAAATATAAAGCCTGATCAATTCTATATTACCATATTGTGTAGTCGATACATGAAGTAAGCAAACGAGACACCAAATATACATCACTCACCTGATTTCATCTCCATTCATACTTGTTCTGTGTTCCTCAATAACAATGCCATTCTTATTTTCTTCTTTAAATACTGTAGCGTACTCTGGATCATCCTGACGACATGCAAGTAAAGAAGAATATGTGGTATTTGCGTTGTCACAGCAGAGAAGGTATCAGTGTTGGTCTCCTGGGTTGTAACTTCATGTGGACCAACATATGAGCCCTGAAGATGGAGATAGTACGTTTCTCCAAAATGTTGGTATCTACCTACAAGTGCACGTGGTATTACAACCCAGAATACCAACATCAATAAGGAGAAATAAGCTTCACACCATAGCAGTTATCAAGTCTTAATATTTAAATAGTTGGTAACACTGTTTCTACTTCAAATCATTTCATAAAAATATATGTTTAATTGTGTATTGCAGCTGCACTATGATGTACAGGTGCTTTGCACACAGAAGATGTTTGGGAGCCACTCTAAAGTGTAATGTGTCTAGTTCTGGCCTTGTATTAGAATACATGAATTGACAGCTCATCTTACACACACTTCAGTTCCATCACAAAATGTATTTGAAATTCCAGCACTCAGAATAAGCAAATACACAGTAAAATATTAAATGGTCAACATTTGAAGATTTCTGTCTTCTGGGTTATTGCGCTGTGTAGTCTGGTCGATGTTAACCAACGTTTCAGAGGTCATACTGCCTCCGTCATCAGGGCATGCGATGCCCTGATGACGGAGGCAGTATGACCTCTGAAACGTTGGTTAACATCGACCAGACTACACAGCGCAATAACCCAGAAGACAGAAATCTTCATATTCACCGCTGTGAGAACCTCAAGTCTTACATGGTCAACATTTCATTTGAAAAACATATATAACTAACCTTCACTTCCTTCCAAGCAGAAGGGGGCTGTCTCATGTCCACAAATTCAAAGTCCTCTTGGAATGAAACAGGACATGCTTCGCTGTCTGAATTGGGCTCTGATTTAAGTATATCCATCCTGTACTATAAAATATATTAATATAATTTAAATGATGTCTAATCATAGTGCCTATTACTATTCATCTTACCAGGACACTGACATTTTACAAATTAAATAATATAGTTAGATTTGCAAAAGGAAACATAGCCACATTTAAGTGGCTGGAGAGCAGAATAATTTAAAAATGGCCATCATTCAGCTGATTTTGTCACCCACGGGGACTGCTGAACTGTAGTCTGATGTTCACTCTATCCATAGAAAAAGCCAAATTCACTGACTGATGGCTGGACTTATTTAAATTAGGTTAGGAGTATTAAATAACTTGTAATAGGTGTAGCAACCACCTAAAATAATATCTGAATTCACTGTTGGACTGCACGTCAGAAATAGACTCTAGATTTTAAAATTATACATTTCTTTTTAAAGTTGTATGTCATTATCACACCCTACTCATCTGTAAGTAAATGCAGAGGTGGTCCTAAGATAATTCTCTGATTACCTATTTTCTAATTTTATTCTATTCACAATTACCATATTAATATGGCAACAAATTCAAGACACATGGAAACAACCTAGGAATATAAAACAATTATTTTAAATTTAGTACCATAAGCAGGGAATACTGTCTAGATAATAACAGAAAAATTGCATAAACAATTACTTTGGCTGCTTAGAAATGCCATTAACAGAATTGTATTCAGTTTTTATGTATTTTGAGGATCTGGTACGTTATCCTTATCAAGGAAAGGTGTTTGGATAACACAAATAACTGCACATTTCTACACCATTATTATTATTATGGTAATGAACAACTTTTTCGAATCACAAGACCTAAGTAATTGACTTCGAGGTGTATTTTTTAAGTATGGACTTCTAACAGTATCAAAATATATTCTATACATTGTACTAATATACTAATTTTTAGGTTACTGAATGGTCATACAAACACACACATTCCAAACATGTAGGAGAATCACTACTGACACCGAATAACAGCAGAATATTATTAACGATGCCTTGGGTAATTACAGGGAAATTGAACGATACCAAATGAGATTTGCTGCAAATCGCCATCTACCTTAAAGATAGAGGCAAAAGGTTCGTTTTCAAATGTCTGTAAAACTATATGACGCAATGACCCAGAACATCACAATCCAATTTTGTCTATGTGAAAGTTATTCTTAATAAATCTGTCAACAGTAACATCCAGAGAAAGTGACATTTCTAATTATATCCTACTTCTTGTGTATATGTTAGGTAATAATCATTTGGAGCATAGATATTTTCTTTAGGTGTTCAATGTAAGCAACGCTACACTCACAATGTAACATTTTAAGAGAAATGCTATTTCACAATGTTCGTAAAGCAAAGTAAGAGATGTGATTAAATCTTCTGTTTAGTATGTTGGTTGTACTGGTCTGTGGAGGGCTAGGCGTGTTGTTTCATGGTTGTTTAACTGATGTTTGAATCTAACTGCCTTGCATCTCTGAGTTTTTGTTTACTATGGCGAGAAAGACACCCAAGGAAAATAAAGAGCCACCCAGTTACGAGTGGTTTACAGATATGAATTTAAGTTTGGTGCCGTATTGGTTTCTGGCCTTTCTACGTGTAGTTATTACACTGCTACCACAGTATGGTTACATTCACCCAGACGAATATTTCCAATCAGTGGAAATTGTTGCAGGTATGTTAGGTTAGGAACATATGTCTTGATCATTGTGATTCTAACGTTTTGACTGTTGCATATTATGCACACATGTTGATGATACAATCTCTTCATTATCTTAAAGAATTTTGTACATATTGTAAGAGATTGAGGTGTATGTCATTAAGTGGTACCTCTTACAAATGGGACTAGAATTTGCAATTTACCATCACATGAACACTGCTTGTGCAAAGAATATTTTAGAATTGTATGTGAAGTAACTGACATTGTTATATTTTTAATATTGTACATTTATTTACAGGTGACATGTTTGATATTGAAGTGACTCGTACATGGGAATTCAACACAACTTTTCCAATTCGCAGTATCACGTTTATATACTTTGTTGTTGGAATACCATATTCATGTTTAAAATATATATCTCCATTCATGTCTTTGTGGTTTGACATCAGTATCAGAACACCCTATATGCTACTTGTATTGCCTCGACTATTTGCTTGTTTGTTATCGTTTGTATCAGACTATTGTATGTACAAAATATGTTACTTGTATGGTCAGAATTATCGGGCGAGGTTGTTGACTCTTGCCAGTTCATATGTTACTTTGGTCTATGGGACAAGGACCTTCACTAATACCGCTGAAATGGCATTAAACTCTCTGCTGTTATACGTTGTAGCCTACTGCATGTGTCATTCAGATCAGGTAAGAAACACTAACACCCTTGTATTTGAACATTAAAACATGTCTTGGGCTTGTTTTGATCCAATCCATGTTGCAACAATTATTTTCTACTGTGGGTACTGTAGGATAGAGGTAGTATACTGACCTGATTATAAGAGGTCAAGGTTGATTCCAGTGTGTGTTTTGTGTTTGTTAATGTAGACCTCAACCTCAGAAACACTCAAATCTCTATGAATTTTGACAATATCAGGCCTGCATGATGTTTCAGAGGCCACACAAAATTGTAGGCTGTTGGTGTAAGTGACTTGTTTTGCAAAGGTACAGTAGCATGGTGTCTGGTTGACATTTGGGAAGAACCCCATTTGATTTCTGGCAAGGGATTGGGAATTCGTGATCAAAATAATGTGGATGTGTAAACACCAGTTAATGAAGTGAAAAGAAAAACAGTATTGACATCTTTTTTTTCAGTTTACCCAAATGTACATTTTTCTGAAATCCTAAATTACATTTACATGTTTTTGTTAGTGTTATCAGATGTGTGTTACGTGAGAAATATAGGGCTGGTTGATTCTTCCTTCGATAAAATTTTAGTACCAGTAATTATTACATTAAAATATCGAGTTATTTTTTGTAGTCTGAAGTTTGTCTCCTTACAGGTGATCATTCAGGATGAATATCTGAGCGAGAAGTACAATGCGGCTGGGACTCCTGTCGAGAGAGTGAAATTTTACAAGTTACGAAGTGCTCTGCCACAACATTCCTTAAGCTTGTGCTTTGTTGTTGCAACAATCACAGTCATTGGGGTCTTTAATCGACCTACTTTCCTTGCTTTTGCCTTTCCGTCTGTCTTCTTCTGGCTGCAGAGAGGCCTTGGGTCAAAAATAATTGGTCTTGGTGACTTCCACCTTCGCATTCTGATTTTTACACTTTCTGGGATCCCAGCCACAGTAATATTTATACTCATCGACTCATTTTATTATGGCTACTTAACAATGAGCGAGATTCAGGAAATGAAAGTCAGTCTGAATAATTTTGTGGTGACTCCACTCAACTTCTTAAAGTATAACATGAACGCTAACAATCTGTCCGAACACGGCCTTCATCCAAGATGCCTTCATTTCTTGGTGAACATTCCGTTGTTGTATAATGTCCTTGGACTTATGGGTCTTGGAGCTTTCCTTAGCATAATGTACAGGTGAGTGAAATACAAACTTGATTGTTACTGATGAATGGTTTTGAGAATGAACGTGAGTGGTTGGAATGGTCTTAAGGTAGCCAAGAAAAGAAACTGAAAGATTGTACTAAAGAAAGATGTGAGAAGATAAAATTAATATTTCTGAGGAGACAATTATGAGAGTAAAACATATTGGTGCCCTGTAATTGATTTATTGGGATCTAATGGAATGTTTACCTAAGTTTTTTTACAAGCTCATGTTTCATTTAATGTATGTACGTAAACAATATTAAACTCTTACGTGTTTGTATTTATGCGTCATAATCAGGCTATAAATATTTTAATGTGTATATTGCTCAAGTGGGCCTACATATGTGCTTTTTTATACAATATTACAACTAGGAAAAATTTTAGAGAACATATATTGTAAGTAATAATTGTAAATAACTTAAATTTCTGTTGATTTAGATGATATTCACATCACAGAAATTGATATTTTTTTCTTTTATTTTCCTTGTAGGTGGTATATAATGGTATTGGAAGTTTTACTATTTTTACACTTACATTTTTAAAGAGTTTTGCTATAATTCTTTTTTTTACTCCTAATATATGTCAACATGGCCAATTTTTGGTTGTTTATGTTGTTAGTTTTATTTTTCTTAATGATAGTGTTTTTGGATGCAGTAAATATTAAGTCTAAGAAGTTTAAAGGAACTTTATCTGTTTTATCTGTAAATAGTTCTTTGAATGTATGTCACTTGAAACTGCGGTGGAATCTCACTTCAGGCGTGTTTAACATGCTTCAAGTTTTGGTTTAAATTAGCTGTCTACCTTAGTCCTTTTTTAATCCTTTGCGACTTATTACTCTTCATGCTTAATATGATTTGAATTTTGTTAAAAGCTTAAAATAGACCGAAAGGAAATTTACTTTACCCAGTTTCCACATTATCAAGTTCTAATCAACTTTTTCATTTTCAGAGGAATAAGACGCAAGTTTAGTGACCTGCCTCGAGTTCAGAGCATAATTGGATTGATGACATCATCATTTATCATTCCCATAATTATACTGTCCATGTTTCCACACCAGGAAGCCCGTTTCCTTATTCCCGTGACTCTCCCCGTCATCTTTCTTCATGCCCAAAGAATTCGCCACATTTCCAACACAGAACAGTCGCATCATGAGAATAGTACGACTTTCAAGGTAACATTCTCACGAGGCTCAAGAGGAAGCGTGCTATTGACACTGTGGTACTTTATCAACATTGTGCTCACTATATTCTTCGGATTCCTCCATCAGGGAGGCATATATCCTCTTAGTACTCATTTGGCAAGTGAGATGCAATTGAAACCACAGGTCATGACCCTACATTTGGTCACGAGCCACACATATTCTTTACCACTCTTCTTTCTCCAGCTCAGAAACTCCAAACGATTGCTATTCAGTAAGCAGACGGGGCGGAGATACCGTCTTGCTCGACAGTTTTATTCTTACGAAATGGGTTCAGCTCCATTGGAAGATGTACATAGGAAGCTGCAGACATTGCTGGAAACATATGAACTAAAGAAAACTGAGAAAAGGTTGGACTATCGTTTGTACCTTGCCCTTCCAGCAAGTCTTGTGGAGGAATTTCATATAACTGCTCCCAATTCAACATCTGCCTTGCAGTATTCAGTGGTGAAGGTATTTTATCCTCATGTGTCTACTGAGGCTCTCCCAGATGTATTTCATCTGTTATCAGATGATTGTATGAATTCTAACACTGAAAAATATTGTGAAAGGGAGAAATTCTATACGTCACCATTTAAATTTTTCTCAAGGTTTGTGCAACAGTTTGGTTTAACATTAGTTAGAATTCAGAGGTAATAAATTTAGAGCAACTCTTTGTAAAAATATATTTGTAAGTCTGATGAATGAAAATCTGTACCTCACTGTAAGATTCAGTTTTTAACACAGCTATGGCGAGGGTGAGTCTCATGGGAATCGATTTCGGTGCCATGAGAGACATTGGTGGGTCACAGGACTGTGTCATTAAATGGAGGCTCGGTTTCCATGGAGTAAAATAATCTGTATCTAACACAACAGCTGGGACAAGAAAGATGCATAAGGTTTGTGAGAGCCGCCAGAGTGCCATGTTTGAACCCAGACAGTAAATGTTCTGAATTTATTTAACAGTGTAGTGCAGTGGTCCCCAACATTTTTGTGCCTACGGGCACATTTGAGAGTTTATGAGATCGTGGCACCAACCAATTAACAAAGCCAAATTTTCTTTTCTCTGGACAAATAAGATATGGACACCAAATAATACGCAAAACAACACAACATTTAATGATACAAGAAACCGTGTGATCAAAAATACGTACTTTTATAAGTACAATTATTATTACTCAAGTGGGAAGTTAGTGTGATGTTTGGCGCTGCATTTCATCGGCCAGTTTTTCAAATTTGGGAGTGTAGGATGATGTTGCTGCTCACAAACAATCGTCAAGATGGGCGTCAGTAAGTCGAGATCTGCGCTTTGATTTTATAATGTTCGTGGTTGAACATCCTTCATTATTCAGTATAACCTCTTTCTGTAACAACGCGGGCACCCTGAAAAAAGTCTTGGCGGGCGCCGCGGAGGGGACCACTGGTGTAGGGCGATGGTTGCTTGTGGCTCATGGGGCTTATTTCTTTGTTATGTAAGATATTAGAACTGAAGTATCATGCTTTGGGAGGGGGTAGGGTTGTATTGGCAAAAATGATTTGGGAGCCATTGTGTTAAATGATGGGTAATAATACTGTTAATGAAATTGAAGATTTCACTAATTATGTAGGGCACTTATTATATTATGATGTTAGGTTTGTTGTTCTTATTGAGAATATCGATATCTTCGAATTAAAGCCTAAACTATGTCTTCTTAATGGCTTATCCTATAGTACTTTGTAGTTTCTAATGTAAAGTGTTCTCAAAAAACAACTCATAATGTTAAAAGGTCTACAAATTTTGTTAGAAATCAAGTAAAGTGACTTCCCTGATTATCCTGTATCTGTTTGACCTTGCATTTTATAGAGAATCATTAATATTGAACTTCATCAGTACATACAAATAGAATTGGAGCATATCCCAAGTGTTACTTTGTTTAACAAATAACTATTGGCTTATTTGTTCTGTACGAAGGATTCATTCAAAGCTGCTGTTTAATATTTACAGAAATTTTTTAATAATTTTATACCTTTGCATACAATTTTGGCCCTGAGGAGTTCATAGGCAGATATGTGAAAGGTGATTATACAATTAATCCCTTGGTCCAAGGGAGACTTTGATCTCATTGCGCAAATTCCATGGCTACAGGAACACATTAAATGAATAATTGTAAGGAGAAATATTGTTACGTTTTTTCATTTCAAGTGACCGTTAACTTTGCATCGTTCTGTACATATGCATATTCAGAGTTGCTGGATTTCTGAATGTGGTAGGCATTTTATGAGGTGTCCAGTAGCCCTGAGCATGCAGCACATTATATCCACTACAAATTATGATAATGAGATCAAGAATTTGTTGACTTGTGGAAGAATATTAAATTTCATAAACATTTCCCTGCATGAGGCTCTCCTTTTAGTGCTTGCCATTATTTAAATGTATTTATTTTGAATAAAAACTACATTTTTGTGGTCGGTTGAATTCCCCAGAAAATAATTCCACTAGATGTGATTGAATAAAAGTATCAAAGTAGACAAATCTTAAAGTTTCTATTTTCATGAGTAATGTCACAGTCCTCATAGCAAAGCATGCTGAGCTCAATTTAGGTATAATGTATTGAATATATGAAGAATTCTGTCTTCTGGGTTGTTGCGCTGTGTAGACTGGTCGATGTTAACCAATGTTTCAGAGATACTGCTTCTGTCATCAGGGCAGTATGACCTCTGAAACGTTGGTTGACATCGACCAGACTATACAGTGCAACAACCCAGAAGACAGAAATCTTCATACTCACCGCTGTGAAACCCTCAAATCTTATATCGAATATATGTTTTACAGTTTAAGTTATTGTCAATTTGTAGCCCAAGAAATTTAGTCGTTTCTGCCACTATAATTGTTTTATTCTCACACACTTTACGTAGATTAAACATCTTTGGTGGAGTATGTTATTAACATGATTAGGTTTAGAAAGAGTAAAAGTTGTAGTTCTTTGAAATTATGCATGTGATAATTTAAAAGTTACGTAATGTAGCGAGTAGCGCGGTTAGAGGAAGGAACAACAATGGGAAGGTCATTTCCTGCGTTCTTGTGACAATGTCGGAACTATGTCGCGACTAAATTGGTATTATGGATAAACAATGTAAGTTTGTTACATGGTTTCCACGGTAATTTTTGGTAGTAAAAACGTAGTTTGAGAGTTAGATAACATTTTGGTGAACAATAAAGTTGTCTAATTACTGCAGAAGAAGAATGTTTTGGAAAATCACAGGTTTGTGATAAGGAATATTTATTTTTGAAGATTAAGCATCAGTGTTGGCGAATGTTGCAGTTCTTCGGTTTATAAAAAGTACAAGTTGTAGTTTTGGATTTTGAACTTCAAAAACTTTGAAAATTTTAGTGCCATGGTAATGACGGTAAAAATATTGTAAATTGTCATGAGGTTAACACGGTAAGCAGAGAATATAAAGACGAATATGGACTACATTTCATGGTGACCGGAGAAGAATTACGTTGGTGAAAGTACGGGTTTATATGTTGTTCCCTTTAGAAGGCTCTGAAAGCATTTTTACCGTTGAATTTGTCTGTGATATCAAGCTCTGAAGTAGAATGTGTAGCTGTTTATCATATTAATATAAATTTACAGAGTTTTGTTAATATGTGGTTTTATGGTGACATGATTTTCGATGTTTTTCACACTGCGAAATATTCAGTTCTGTTTTTCCGTGAAACAGTACAGAATTTGACAGTAAAAGTTTGTAGATAACTTGCGTTGTCAATAGGGTTATGTTGCACGTTGTGTATACATATTTCGTAAATTTAAGAATATTTTTCTGTCATACCATTGACATAGGACACATCAATAACATGTGTCTGTAAAATTATGTACATTTAAAATCTCGGTTAAAACTAAGTAACAGGAAGTACTGCATTACAATAACATTCTCCATAGAAGCACATACACAGTGTGTCAACATATTTCATGAAGTGTAAGGCGTGTGTATTAGCTACCGAGTAGAATGTATGGTGCATTAGAAATAACCAAAGCTTTCTTGTGAAATGTGATTTTTTCAAATTTCCTAATTTGTTTTTGTAAGTTATTGAGCAGTCTGATTCTTATTGAGCTACAAGAAGGTGGGAGTTAACCTTCACTAATGAGTTCTTGCAGACGTACGAGATGGAGTTTGTTCCAGAAGTATGTAACAGAATCAGAGGTAGGAAATCCTTGTTGTTGAGGTAGGAGTTTATGACTAATCTGTTTACTGTAGATATGTCAAGGTTAGTTACTCTAAGTGCTAATGGGAGATTCAGAGAAGGTTCTTAAACATTTTTTTTTCATTTAACCTGCAATAATTTTTGCATGTCTTAAGGCCGCTGAGATCATAAACTCCTGTGTCATCAACAGGGATTTCCTACCTCTGATTCTGTTATATCTTTTTTGGTATGAACTCCAACTTGTGTCTGCAAGGAGAACTCAGAAGTGAAGGTTACCTTCCACCTTCTCGTTGCACCTGTCCGCAAGGTCTAGGTCTGAACACTTCCGCAGACTCTGTGAAGTCCAACACAAACTACTGTTAATTTTAATGTTATTTGGGATGGTAGTTGGGTGTTAATGAGTTGATGGTCATAAGGAGTACCTAATTAACCACAAGTCCCATAAAACTGGAAAGTGTAGAATGTAGAGCCATGGTCTTGCACCTGTAGCAATTACATAAAGTTTTGTTTTCCATAGGAATATGCCATTGCTTTCAAGTACATTCCCTATTATCTCAGAGATAGTATAGAGATGGGTGTGGTTCTTGAGGAAACTCTTTAATCATATATTTTGTGTATCTTTCACATTCTCAGTGTGTGAAAAGACAAAAGTTGGAAGAAACTGAAACAGATGAGAAAATTTCTGTTAATGAATACAGTTTTTGATGTCCATGTTATCGAAGTTGATCATTATTGTTAACACATGTTAATGTTAAAATTATTTATGAAAAATTTGTAACAGTATTTTGATTAATTTCTGTTTTAGATATGTACCTTAAGAATGTGTAATTGCATGTCTGTTTAAGTTGTAATTTAAGTTCTTTTGTTGCAGATACTTCAAACAAAGATTATGCACGGTGATAGAATAGACCAAGCATGCGCCATGTTGTCATCACATTGTGAATTGAACGATGTGATTCAGCAGAAATGCAGCCATTACTCTTTTGGAGATGAATGTATTGATGACATTGAGTCAGACCCTACAAGCCCAGTACTGTCTGACTCAAATTCTAATATTCTGAGCATTGATACAGAACATCAGAGTTTTCAGAGCATCTCCAAAACAGACCATGATAATAGTTCTCTGCATACAATGGGAGATATTCCATCAGACTCTTTTCAAGTCATTTTAAATTCTCCTTCTGAGCAGAATCCAGTATTTTCAAGTAGTGAAATGCTGTCGCAGCACAGTGGTGTACAGCTTCATGAAGCATGTGATACTTCTAGTCAACCAGTCATGAGAGATTCTGAAGCATTAAATGGAATAAACGGAGAATTAATTTTGTCCTCAATGAAACACGTGGCTTTACAACAAAATAATGACCTGAAAAAGATCAATGGATTTGCACAATCCCATATTAATCGAGATAAAAGTAAATCTTTTTCCAAATGTAAACTGTCATTGCCACAAAATGACGTGTCAAGACTACCAGACTTTCCGCTAAAGTTCAAGTCTTATGATATTTCATTAGATACAATTCAGAGCCAATCTATAACAACTATTTCTTCAGGTATAAAATCGAAAGATTCAGGTATGCCGAGATCAGTGAGGTGTGTGAGGTTGCGCAGCGGTAGAAAGCGGTATGAGCAAGTCCCAAGTAAAGTTGCAGAATACATTAGAAGAATTAAGGAAGAGTGTAAGAAAGGAAAATTTCCAAAGTCATGTATCATTTCTAAAGAAAGTGTACACACAGATGAATTCAGTGATGCCAGTGTTGAGAATAACCTAGAGGCATTGATAGAAACATTGATAAAAAAAGTAAGGGATCTTAAATTTGAAGTAAACGCCAAAGACAAATTTATTTCAGAATTACAAGATTATATTACTAAACTGCTAAATAAATGTGCAGAAGCTGAAAACAGAACTGATCAAATGAGATTTAAGGTGTGTCATCCTTCGTCGAAATTTCGTACTTGGGACCAAAAAAAGAACCGTATTTTTCCAAAAGCAGAGAGTTTAAAGCGTGGTAGTAAAAATCAATTTATATCAGCATACAAAAGAACATTATGTATGAGGGCAGCTGATGAATCACTACCCGTTGACATAAATGATTTGTTTTTGAGGAGAACTAGTAATGTTGAAACCACATCAATGGCTCAGTTTAATGAAGAGGATATAAGGCATAATTTAACTTTGAATCCTGTTGTGACATTGTATAGCGGCTCGGTAAGATTAGATAAAAGAGTGGAGCCCCTTTCGGAGATCTCAAGTGCAAAAACTACAGAAGACTCACTTGAGCAGGAATTGTCTTTATTCAGTAGAATGGTAAGAGGAAGATCAAATTCAGAAAGGATGTCTGTTGCACACTCGAGCAATGTGTCTGCAGATGAGCATTCAGGCAGTGCGACGAGTCCCGATCAGAAATATGTGTGTCGATGTACAGGAAATGCTGTTAGACCACGAGATATGTGTGATCCCGGAACGTCACGTGCGGACGCGTGTGAGTTCTGCCTTTCACGGTTGAAACAGTTCGAGAAAATGCCAGTGGTCTCTGAAATAAAGATTCCTGAAAGCATAAATGGCGAAGAAAGACTGTTGCGAACGAAGTCGTTAGAACAGAGTGGATCGAGGAGCCTACGTAGTAATTCTTTTGAAAAGGTATTTATAACATTTTTTTTGTAATCTAGTAAAATCCTTACTCAGACCTTACACTTAAATGAGATTTGAGGTTCTCATGGCAGTGAAGATGTTGATCTTCTGAGCTGTAATGCTATGTGGATCTCTAGGCAGACGACCACATTAACATTTGCACTAAAAGTTTCCTTCTGTGTACATACATTTACGTTACTGTAATTAGTGTATTCAACATCTATACAGTTATTATTTTGTCTTTGTGCGTATATACATTTAAAATAGCTTCAAAGTAATTTTAATTTGTATGCTTCTGCCAGCATCGCTGTAGTGACAAAATACAGTGTTTTGAGCTGTCATCTGAAATTGCTTAGAACGTCACATTGACGTAAAATGACTCAAAATTATCTCTGTTCAAACTTTTGTTTTATTTTGAGTAAAATAAGATTTTTTTAGAGGGACACTAGGATAACCTGTATAGGTAGATTGATGAATCTCGGTGATGTGAAACTTGGTCAAAGGCTCCGTTACTGAAAGGATATTTGTCGGAGAGAAGCCAACATTCTGCTTAAAAGTTTTGATCTTTTTGTTGCAAAGTGGGGCTCATGTTCTGAATTTCAAAATATAATATTTCATTCATGAGCAAAAATTCTGAATGAACACTTTACTGCAGATGGAAGAGGGTTATATGAATGCCAGGTTTCCATAAATAGGCCCATTAAGTTAAATATGTAATATTTTCCAACTGAAATATCCTTCAGCACTATATTGACATAATTTCTGTCATTCTGTGAACTTGGAAACAAAAATGTCCTGTGTCCTCTTATTCTTATCTGGGGATGATTAATTGTTAAAAGTTTTGTTACCTGCTGAAGTAATACTTGAACATTTATTTTTAGGTTTCAAGATGGCAAGAATTCTTACCGCCATCCTCTGAATTAATTGAACCAAGCCGGTACGAAAATTTCGATTGTCACAGCAGTGGACGTAAGACGTCCGAACAGAATTTCACGCAGGAGTTTGCCACAGTAATTCCAAGGCCTCTTAATATCGATTCATGCGAATGTTGGAACCCAGATGTGGAGCAGTCTAGTATTCCGTTAGGACCTCGTGATCAGAAACCAAAAAATACATTCCAAGATTTCCGTGTACCACCATTGGAACTTGGAAGTTTGGTAGATGGTGATGATGCCATTGACAGTGATATCAATGGTGATAATAACACATACACTAGCAGTGTGACTGCTATACCAGTCGAAGAGGGAATGTGTAAAACTAATTTAGATTTTTCTACCGAAGAAAATTTGAGTTCCGGTCACCAGGATATAAGCGAAAGTACTACGTATTCATCCAGCACGTATGCGACTTCTGATTTTCAAGCAAGTAAAACACAAAACCATGTGGAATTTTCCAGTAATAATGTGGACCCACATTTAATAAAGGCTTGTGTTACGGATTCTCAACAAGAACCGAAGACTTATGGAAGAAAGTCACAAAGAATGCAGTATAATAATGTACAGCGTCTAAAGGATGGCGCTGCTGGGAAAATAATGAACCAGAGCAATATTCAGAATGATTCGTTGCCAGCGTCATCAGCAACTTCTACATCATACAGAAGTATACAACGGTACAAGGCAACCAGAGAAGTCAAACTCACGTCAGCACAGCAGTATTGTGAAGGAAAGTCTAGCCAACCTGCTGAAACAAATGATTGTGGTACTGGTGACTTTCCTGACCATGTAAAAGAGCAGAAATCCTCAGATCATCATGCTGGATCACATGTATGGAGAAGAATATTATTGGGCATGGCTTTGAGACGTTGTTTATCAGATTTATTGAATACTGAAATTTGTCGTGGTAAATTTCATGTTTCTCACAAATTTTCAAAGGAAGTTGTGGCACCAGGATATCCCTTTCATCACAGTTCTACGGGGAATGAAAACATCGCAGGAGAGAATGGCAGTAGAAACATCTCTCATACGGATACTTACGTAAATTTTACCTCCGTGTCGAGTGACGTCGAATGTGAAGTAAAGAGAACTATTTCAACTGACAAAGTTGTAAGCAGTGTTGTAGAAGATTTGGGTCCAAAGGAATCAGTTTCTGGCAGGTACATATAATAAATTTATATTTATTATCAATAAGTTACAACGTGGAGAGTCGCGGTAAATCGTACTGATGCTCATTTTACTTTAAATTCTTCTGGTGTGAATAGGGATATCACTTCAAACTAATGAGTTATAATTATGTAATTTAACTTTTTTTTTTTTACGTTTGTAGTATTGTAGATGTCCGTTACTTAAAATTTATCAAATGTAACATTAGAAATGCATGTGTCATGTCGGTGCTTTTCATCATACAAGAAAATTTTGTATATCAGATTTCTAAGTGAGTCTGTATTCTGTTATTATAAACATTACAAGTTTACATACTGTCATTTACCAGAAATTTAAATCAACAATATAAATATTTATTCATCTACGATCTATGATCCAACGTCTTGTGTTCTTAGCAGTGCTTGTCACTACATGAACTGGTTGACATTAATTCTTTATACTTTCTTTCG